CCGATATTAATGATACTTATAATGATAGTCGCGGCGATTATGTGCACAATGAGGTGGCTATGGATTATAACGCCGGCTTTCAGGCATCGGTGGCCGCGCTATTGCATTATAAATTAAATTAAAATGTGTATACAAATGTACCATGCCTAAATAATCTGTAATGATTTTTGAAATTTACACAAATGCTTTTTCATTGTGCCTTTTTCACGCATAAATAATTTAGGATTTATTAAATCAATATCGCATTATATTTAATGAAGTTATTAAAAGTGATGTAACAGTAAAATGTTTATGAGTAGAATATCGACCTTTAAAATTGTATTTAATCTATCTATGTACAATTTTACTGTACTTTTGTCTTCAAATTAAAAATAGATAGCTAAGTTTATGTGTAGTTGAAGCATAAGGTACTTGCTTTTTAAATACATAATTATAGCTGTAGTATTTAATTGAAAACTAACTACTGTAATTTAAACTGAGAACTTAAATTGCACAAAATGGTATTATACTATATAGGTTTCAGTTCAATATATTAGTTGCTACAGAATGTTCAATTAATCAAGAGACAAAAATATACCCAACAAATTTACAATATTTATTTTAAAAATTATTTATATTTATAAAATATCATTTTTTAATTTAATGTTCTTGACATTAAATATTAATATCTCCAAAGGTTATTTTAACAATAAAAATTGTTATAAAATAACAAAAATTTAATTTATTATAAATATGACAAAAATTGTTTTATTTGCACAAAATAAATAATGACATTTTACACGATAGATACAAACGTTTACATTACATAAGTTTTATTTTAAACTAATATTTTGTCTTCGTATAAGTAGTAATAATTTTATTATTGATATGAATTTCTAGCATATTTTGAAATTTAATTTATGTTAAAATTATGTCTGAAATTATTAAATGCAATCAATTATTGCCCAAAGAGTTACAAATTAGTTCAGCAGAGTATCAATTGTATAGAATTGGGTTATCACTCAATACACCTAAAACACCGACCAATAGATCTTGGTATCCAAACCCATATTTTATCTCATTGAGTTATTTATATTATTTGTTTGTCAATATATTGGGCCTAATTAATAATGGGGAGAATGAATTGATCGTGCTGCTATTTGGCGACTTTTCGCAATTAATTGGTGCCGGAACTCATATAAAATTGGCAATTATTATCTTGTCACATTTTGTCATAAGCTTACAACTAATCTATTATTATGTATATTATAACTCTATTGAACCGACATTTATGCGGGTATTTGAGATGATGTCGGGTATGATTAGCCCACAAAGTATTGGTCTATCGGACCTTAAGTCTGTTAATCGGTTAATGAAAATTGCAAAAAAATTATTTACGATGAATTTGATCATGTGCAAAACATCGGGCATATTTGTCGGCCTCATTACACCCGTAATATTTATCATATTCAAACCGATACTACCGGCCCTCTTATATGGTGTACCAAACGGTATGTTATTAATGATGTCGGCATATAATGGCGTTAACGCAATGGTCTGGCAATTGACTTACTTTTATCTGTTGTCCTATTATTTGAAAATAAAATTTATTTCAATTAATAATCGTTTGAATAAATTGCGAATTAAGTCATTAAATACACAAAATATAATGCAATTGTTAAATAACATTTACAACGAAGTGGACATTTATAATACCAGCTATTTATCAAAATATATATTATCAGTGTGGTTCATTTTGGGTGGTTATTGTGTAATGTGCTTATATGTAGTAACACTCATAAATGTAGAAATAATAGCGTTAATTGTTAGTGGATATTTGCAAATAATCTTATCATGCATATTTTTCACGGTAATTTTTACGCCTCGTCCGTTAATTATACTGCTAATAAATCATACAAAATATTTTTAATCAAATTTATTTATTCTTATAAATACTTATGCATTATTTAAGAATTCTTGGATTTAATAAATTATTATTTGTATAAAATAACATTATGATAAGAATAATAAAAATTAAATATTTATTTTAAATAATTATGTAATATTTTAATGCAGATAATCTATTGTTTGCTTGTATTGAATAAATATAATGAAAGGACAGACCAATTGGTATATTAATGCTTTTTATTAATTATTTAATTTAAATTTTATTTTATTAGTTAAATGCAGAGAAAAGACTCAAATGTTATGTGTCTTTAAAATCCAAAATTATGAAATAAGGACCAAATATTTGATGATTTTTAATTACTGATTAGATAACTGAACTTGTTCATTTGTAAATATTGATAACAATAGATAACAAATAAACTTCATACATGATTTTATGTTTATATTTGCTTCTATCGTAGTGATAAAGGTTAGAAAAAAATTTAAATTATACAATATTACATTAAAATTAATGATGATAATTATATTTTGCTTAATTATACATAATCATGCTATTATAATTGTTCAGTTTTAACAATTAGTTTTATTATATAAATAATATTTGCAAATTATTTATAAAATAAAATTGTGTAATAATACTACTTGTACAATTTATTGAATTAAATAAACAACTTATTAAACTAAACTTGATTTATTAACTGTATTGAAATATTGTATTCATAGTAACAGTACTACAAAATTATAATTAAAATGAGTACTAATATAACTAATGAGACCCGAAAAGAGTTGTATGAATTATGTAAAACTTATTTACCACAAAATTGGGCCGTTATATCATCAAATCAATTGGATATACAAACTATTGCGTAAGTTTACAAAATAAAATAATATTTATATGCTATATATTTTTATTTACATTAGAAAAACATTTTAATAAATTATTTATTTGTTATAAATAGCGATGGACATATAAATCAATCATACCTATGTAGTTTACCATCAAACATTAAGTCTGACTATAATAGGGTAGTCATTCGTATTGTAGATTATGAGAGATATAAACAGTACTTCACGCAAACACACGTGATAACAATTGCGGTGATTCTATCACATCTCGGTCTATCACCAAAACTGATGGCTGTGTTTCCCAAAGGAACTATCAGTCAATACATAGACGTAATGCTAACTAACAATGTTATTACCATGATTGTTTTGTAATAATCACTAATTTGACCATGTGCAAATAGTGCCGTTATTTTGACGGTCGGGATGACCTAAACCCAACACTTGTGCGCCTATTGGCTGGAAAATTGGCCAAATTTCACTCAATCCAGATGCCGGTGCGGAGAGAGCCCACAAACATATACCACTTATACAAACGGGTATTCAATATGGAGACCAGCGATAAGATACGGGAGTCGATGGCCCACCCGGTGATCATAGAGCAGATACGACGACACAAATTACAAGCATTTGTGAACACGGATCTGATCCGAGAGAATGAGTGGCTTCAGGCGGCGGTCGACGCCCTCCAGAGTCCCATAGTTTTCTCGCACAACGACTTTAACCGCCGCAATATTCTGGTCTATCGGCCACACAATAGTACCCTAACTGATAATGAGTTTGATATAACCCTCATTGATTTTGATTGGACCAAGTACACTTATAGGGGTGTGGACTTTGGTCAATATTTTTGCAGTTGGTTGCACCGGGAGGTCGACTTTGGGGCCGGAGATTTCCCAACTGATGAACAGATGTGGCCATTCATTGACGCTTATATTGACGAAATGTGTAGAATTCATGGCAATTCTTATAGGAATTTAGCCGTTAATTCCCGCCATAGGATTATTATAGAGACCAAAGTGTTTGCGTTAATTGCATTCATGAAGGATATATTGTTTGCCATTTGGATTGCTATCACTGATAATAAGACTGATTTAATGGTAAGTTATACTGTATTGTATTATTATCTCAACATGTTTCTTTAATTAATAATGCATTACATTTTGTAGCCAAAGGCAGAGATACGGCTCAACTGTTATAAAGTCCTTAAAGATCGCGTACAACAAGAATATTCTTCGCTTAGATTTTAATGTTTTTTTAGTTTTAATTATTTCAAAAATAATCATTAATTATATTTTATGAATTATTAATTAAAGAATTCGATATGTTGAATGTAATTACTTTTATAATTTGCATACTGTATTGTAGCTTACCGTACTCCTAATGTGCTATAAATGATGGAAAGTTTTGTAATGAGTAGTTGAATAAATTATAATTTACAAAATAAAGAAATGGAAAATAATTATGAAAATAATTTACAAGTTATACAAATTTCTGTAAATTAAATAATAGTAAATTTTAGCAAATCAAATTTACATATAGTTTTATTATTGTAAATCATATTATAAAAATTATCTTAAATATAATATCTTCAATTTCTAATTAAAAATAAAGTTATTAAATTATTTTAACAATAATGAAAAATACATAGAGTAGTTGTTTGAAACAAATTTGAAACAACTTGTTTTGGAACGTTAACTTTTAAAATACAAGTTTATTAAATGATTATTGTAATAGAAATAATTACTAAAAGTATCATATAATGCAATGTAATTATATCAAGTTAACAACATTATGAGGTAAAAATGTTAGCAAATTGAGTAAATCCCATAATAGTTAATAGTACAATTAAGTGCATTAAAAACATTAAATTGGATTTGTTGTTTTGTATGATACTGTATTACTTTAAATCATACAATACGTCGTGATAAAATAAGTCATGATCAAATTTGATATATCGTTTAACTATTGACTGATAATTAGGGGCTTGATTTTTGAAAACATATTTATAGATGCTGTAAATAATTGAGCTATTAAAGTAGATTTCAATCGAGATTATTTTTGAAAACATTATGACGTCAATTTTGCATTAACTCTGTTTACTTTCATAACACTATAAATAAGCAAATGTTTTAATATTTAAAATAAACTGTGTTTAATTATTATATCAAACGTTATATTAATTTATAAAATAATAAATAATAAAGAAATGGAAAACAAAGAAAATAATATTCCGGTGGAAGAGTGGGAGAAATTGTATGAATTGTGTAAATCATATTTAGGCGCCCAATGGTCTGAGATTAGTGCCACTGAGCTAATTATAAAGCCCGTAACGTAAGTAATATTTATTATATTTTATAAAATGATTGTACTTTTATTTTCTACTAAAATTTCTAAAATATAAATATTTTTACACGAACACGTTCAGCGGTGGCTTTGTAAATAAACTACATTTATGCAGTTTACCTGATGGTAAAAAAACTGCTCAATATAATAAAGTGGTGGTTCGTTTTGTTGATTATGAACAGTTTAAGCAAATTTATAATCAGACACATGTAATTACAATGAGTGTCCAGTTGTCGCAATGCAATATCAGTCCCAAACTGTTGGGTGTGTTCTCCAACGGAACCATCAATGAGTACATCGATGTATGACATTATTCAATAAGTTTTGAATTGTAATCATAAATCATTAATCTAATTGTTACTACAGTCCAGATATTTCAACGCCACGGATGACCTGAACCCTAAGACAGTGGCCGTATTGGCCCAAAAGTTGGCCACATTTCACTCACAACGGATACCAATACCTAATTCTCCTAAATTACTGTTTGAAAAGATGGCAGACTTTGTAACCGACAAAGTAATTGAATCCTTCGTTAGCGGGACTGTTGGCCAACAGATACGGGACAACAACTTCCGGGTCCAAGAGTTGGTTCCGCGGGCGGAGATGTCTTGGCTCCTAAAGACAGCCAAACAGCTGAATAGTCCCAAAGTTTTCTCCCATAATGACCTCAATCGGCGCAATATTTTGGTCAGAGAGTCGACTGCGAACAATAACCAGGAGCTGGACATCTATCTCATAGACTTTGATTGGTCTAACTATGCCTATCGGGGCGTAGATATTGGCCAATACTTTAGCAGTTGGTGTCATAAAGAGACCGAGTTTGGCGACGGCCAGTTCCCGGCCGATCACCAGATGTTGCCCTTCATTGACGCCTATATCGACGAGATGTGCAAAATTCATGGCAACTCTTATCGGGAATTACCGATCAATTCCCGGCAGTCAATGACCAAAGAGGCAAAAGTGTATACTTTAATGGCATATATGAAGAGTATTATGTATTGTATTGGTATGACAACTAATACCAACTGCACAGATCTTATGGTATGTTTTGTAAACTAACTTTTTTCATTACCTACGTTTCGCTAGTAATTTATAAATATAATTATTCTATAAAATGTTTATAATAATTAATTTCGTGTATTTACAGCCAAAAGCGGAGACCAGTTATAACTGCTATCGAGTGCTGAAGAATCGTATTCTTGAGGAATATTCAGACATTCATTAATTTTGTTATATTTAATAGTCTATTAATAATAGACAAATTATAAACTTAAATTATATACTTATATTAACATAATTATATTTATAACTAAAGTATTTTTATTTTTTAATTTTGTAAAAACTGTTTTAAATATAATATTTTCAATTTATATTACAGTATAACAGATATTCACACCAGAACACCATTGAGTTACATATGGTTAATGTCATTCGCGTAGCGCTAATCCCTCTCTAAGTGTTGCATTCCTGAGCGAACACTGCCTGGGTATATAAGTCGAGCCCACTCTCACCCATAGTTAGTTAGTTTTTAGCTTTACCTACTGTCGGACGCGACTCAACACTCTTGGTGTTGAGTCGTGTAGACTAACTCATTGCTGTGTGAATTCCTGTGTGTATTGATGTCTCATAATTTTTGTATTACTTTTTGTATTACTTTTATATAATCACAATAAAGTCTTATTTACTCTAAACTTGTTTAATAACTATTAATAACTCCAAATAACATTGGTTGATGTTCGCGTCCGAGTCCACATCCGAGTCCGAGTCCGCGTCCGAGTCCGCGGACGCGTCCGAGAGTCCATCAGCTTTTATGGCTCAGATAAGTATATGGACAGGAGTCTACCAAAACCCCCTTTGCTCTACCAAAACCCCTTCAGCTCTACCAAAACCCCCGTTAGCTCTACCAAAACCCCTTTAAACTGTCTAAACCCTATCCTTTGCTTGCCTGCAGTGCACCAATGATTGTCATTATACTGTAATATTATACAGTAATATAAAAATTTTATTAATTTAATTAAAAAAATTACAATACAATCTTATCTAGTTAATAGCATCAGTATTAGGTGAAAATGCATTTAATGCAATTAAATTGATTAAAGCACTTTAATGGTCGATTGTAAAGTGCATATTTTACAACTCAAATGTGCATTTAAAAAGGGCATTTAGGAACTTAGTTGAATGTGTTATTTTTAGTGCATTTAAGACATCACGATAGAAGAAATCATAATCACTTGTTATATTATTTAGTAATAAAGCATACATGTATTTTCATGGTCAAATCAATTATACAATACATGTTCCATAGTAAGTGCACATTTGTATCAATACTGTATTTTCAAACTTTCGTGGTAAATGGCTTGACATATTTATTGATGTATACTGTAATAATTTTATATCAAACTGGACTTCAAAATATTGTCTATTTTATATTTATAAAATGAATATGGTATATGTTATAATTAATAGTGTAAAATATCCATCAAATACTGTATATACAATATCTTATCAATGATAAAGTTATCAATTTTTAAGTGTTAATCACATGTTTAACAAATAAAACTCGTATTTATAAAAACACCACTAAAGACAAGTCAATATTAGTGAATACAATATCGTTGTTTAATTTTTGCAATACTATAAATAAGTTTGAATAGTTTTGATAGTTAAATATTTGTGTTTAATTAAAATAATAATTAATAAATATTATTTTAATTTTATATTTATTTTTGTGATAATTAACAATTAATAAAGAGATGGAAAATAAAGTAAATGACATTCCGGTGGAAGAGAGGGAGAAATTGTATGAATTGTGTAAATCATATTTAGGCGACAAATGGTCTGAGATTAGTGCCACTGATTTGATTGTTAAGCCCATAACGTGAGTAGAATTTACTATATAAAAAATAAATTATAATTATGTTTCAAAATAAAAATATTATAATGTAATTATTATTTTTACCACGAACACGTTTAGCGAGGGCTTTGTAAACAAGCTATATCTATGCAGTTTACCTGATGGTAAACAAACTGCTCGATATAATAAAGTGGTGGTTCGTTATGTAGATTTTGAACAGTTTAAGGATCTATTTAATCAGACACAAGTCACTACTATAAGTGTCCTGTTGTCGCAAATCAATATCAGTCCCAAACTGTTGGGTGTCTTTCCCAACGGAACCATCAATGAGTACATCGATGTATGACATTATTTAATACGTTTTTAATTATATCAATAACTAATTAATCTGATTATTATTACAGTCCAGATATTTCAACGCCACGGATGACTTGAACCCGAAAACAGTGGCTCTATTGGCACAAAAAGTGGCCACATTTCACTCACAACGGATACCAATACCTAAAAACCCAAAACCAATGATTGATATGTTTTCAGACTTTCTGAGCGACGAAATAAGACAGTCCTTCGACACCGGGATTGTTGGCCAACAGATACGGGACAACAACTTGCGGATCAAAGAGTTGGATCCGGTGGCCGAGTTGTCTTGGCTCACAACCACAATCAAACAGCTCAATAGCCCCACTGTATTCTCGCATAACGACTGTAATCGGCGCAACACTTTGGTCAGGGAGTCCACAGTGAATAACAACCAGGAGCTGGACATCTATCTCATAGACTTTGATTGGTGTAACTATGGCTACCGAGGCATAGATATTGGCCAATACTTTTGCAGTTGGGGTCAAAAGGAGACCGACTTTGGCGACGGCCAGTTCCCGGCCGACCACCAGATGTTGCATTTCATTGACGGCTATATCGACGAGATGTGCAAAATCCACGGCAACTCTTACCGGGAATTACCGATCAATTCCCGGCAGACACTAACTAAAGAAGCAAAAGTGTTTACTCTAATGGCATATATGAAGGATATTCTGTATATTTTTTGGGAGACAACTAATACTAAACGCACAGATCTTATGGTTTGTTTTGTGAATTATTTTTTATTGTAAATTTTACATTTAATTTAAATTAATTTAATAATTAAAATAATTAATTTTGTGTCTTTACAGCCAAAGGCGGAGATTAGGTATAACTGCTATCGAGAGCTGAAGAATCGAATTCTTAAGGAATATTCCGATATTAATTAAATTTATAAATATTTTATTATTTTTAAATTAAGTTATGTTTGCAATTGTTTATATGGAAACTTAATTAAAATTAATTCATATTTTGGAAGTACTGAATAAATAAAGAAATTTACATACATAAAAACTAATTTAAAATACCAATTAAAACAATGCAATAATATGTAGGTAATAATATTGTTTTATTAAAATGTTAGTACCGTAAATTAATTAAAACGCCCATTGGGATAAATAATCATTTTAAGTATTATGCACTTGTTAAGGTCAATATGACACTTTTAATAAAATGTAATGATTTGTATAGTGAAAGTTAAAATTTTCATGGTCATGTGAATAAACAATACAAATTAAATTTAATATTTTTAGGTGCAAAGACACATCTGTCTTTATAGAATTCAATCAAGGTTATTTTAAGAAGTTATGAACTAGTTTTGCACTTACTGCATGTACTCGTAAGTTATAATTTATAAATGTAATCAATTTTTAAGAAATATTATGATGTTAATTATTATCATTATTAATCACATGATTTACAAAACAAAACTGATACTGTATTAATAAGCACAGCACTATATCTGTGTTTCTGAATAAAGCTGATTCTACATTTGATTTAAATCAATGCAAGTTTTTATTTATTTTCTCTTTAAATAACTTATAGAAATTGTTTTTAGTTTTTGTGTCTATTTTTGTAATAATTAATAAAGAAATGGAAAATAAAGAAAACGATATTCCTGTGGAAGAGAGAAAGAAATTGTATGAATTATGTAAATCATATTTAGGCGCCCAATGGTCTGAGATTAGTGTCACTGATCTGATTATAAAGCCCATAACGTATGTATACTTAACTATATTGGATAAAATATATTAACACTGAATTTATTTTATTTATCACCATAATTATTAATTATTAATTCACCATTAATTAGTGAAGGATTTGTGAATAAGTTATATTTATGCTGTTTGCCGGATAATTACAAACAAACTGCACGTTATAATAAAGTGATTGTCCGTTATGTAGATTATGAACAGTTTAAGGACTTTATTAATGAGACACAAGTGCTGGCAATTAATCTCCTGTTGTCGTCAATCAATATCAGTCCCAAACTGTTGGGTGTTTTTCCCAACGGAACCATCAATGAGTACATCGATGTAAGACATTATTTAATAGTGTACAGTATAATAACATTACTGTAATTATTGTTTTTATAATGTAGTCCAGATATTTCAACGCCACGGATGACTTGAACACGAAGACAGTGTCCCAATTGGCCCAAAAGATTGCCACAATTCACTCGCAACGGATGCCAATCACTAAACACACTAAACCTATGATCGATGTATTTGATGAATGGCTGACAGACGAGTTGAGACAATCGCTGGCAAACGGTATTGTACGGCAACAGATGCTCAACACCTATGAGATTAAAGACATGGATTTGATGGCAGAGTTGTTGTGGCTCACGACGGCCATCAAACAGCTCCGATCGCCGATTGTCTTCTCTCACAATGACTTTAATCGGCGCAACACTTTGGTCAGGGAATCCATAGTGAACAACAACCAGGAGCTGGACATCTATCTCATAGACTTTGATTTTTCTAACTATGACTGCCGGGGCGTCGACTTTGGCCAATACTTTGCTGGTTGGGGTCAAAAGGTGACCGACTTTGGCGACGGCCCGTTCCCGGCCGACCATCAGATGTTGCCTTTTATTGACGCCTATGTGGACGAGATGTGCAAAATTCACGGCAACTCTTTCCGGGAATTACCGATCAATTCCCGGCAGTCAATGACTAAAGAGGCAAAAGTGTATACTTTAATGGCATATATTAAAGATATACTATATATCATTTGGGAGACAACTAATAGCAAGCGCACAGATCTTGTGGTATGCTATGATTGATAATAAGAAATTATTGTTTAGTAATTAATTTATAAATTATAATTAAATCAAGAGTTTTATATGAGTAATGAGTTAACTATATTTGATATGTTTTACAGCCAAAGGCGGAGATCAGGTATAACTGCTATCGAGTGCTGAAGAAACGTATTTTTGAAGAATATTCAGACATTAATTAATTTATGGTAAAAAAATTTTCATATTTGAATAAGAATGTATCTTTTACCATTTTTTATTTTAATTAAATTATATTAAAATTAAATAATATATGTAAAAATTAATAAAAATAAATTGTCATTTTATTTATTCATATGTGTAATGTAATAAATAGAAAAGCTGACATAAAATAAATACTTTATCTAACTTTCAACACATGGTAACTAAATAGTGTAAGCATTGACAACCTTGATATAATTACGAAATGTGCAGTATGTTATCATTATTGATTGTCATTTAATTGACATTTATGATTTATTATGACATTATTAATATAGATGTTATACAATAGATGTAGTTATTGTGAAGTATTGTATATTTATTTGTTTCATTTACAAACAATTAATATAAATACAGTTAAACTCGTAAACAATGGAGGATTCGGTGTCGGCTGAGGACCGGCACAAAGTGTATGACTTATGCAAAACACAATTAAGCGGCAAATGGACTGAAATTAGTGAAAATGAAGTGATTACAAAACGCGTTAAGTAAATAAATAAATATACTTGTATAATTATTTACAATCACTGTAAATATAAATGGCGCGACCCATCACAGGTGGTACTGTGAATCTGGTTCATATTCTCAAAAAATTCATTTTCCGTGAGCTATCGCAACAAAAAGTTACATTCATTTTAATAGCGGACGTGATTTATGTCAAAAAGTAAATACTGAGAATATATTCTCGGTTATTGGTTTAAGTTCATGAACACCAATAATATACTGTTGCNACGTGATTTATGTCAAAAAGTAAATACTGAGAATATATTCTCGGTTATTGGTTTAAGTTCATGAACACCAATAATATACTGTTGCACTTCACGTGTCATTCTGTGCGCATATGAGTGAACTGCAAACATTTTAAAAGTCATTTCTATAACACATCAATATCTGTGAACATGATTCAATTTGGTGAATATTTGGTGACCATATTCAATGATATTACATAGTATGTTAACACAACAAAACAGTGCCAAACAACTAAAAAAATATTTAGTTAAAAATGATGGTTAAATTGATTGAATACCAAACGGCGTTAAATTAATTTAGAGCCGTTTGGTATTCACATTACCGTTAATTGTATTCAATTACATGTATATCTAATCCAAGTGAATAGGAAAATGACCAAAAAAATGATTGAAATATAATTGCATTTGAGATTTAAATGATATGTTCAGTTATACGCTGTATACACCATATGGTGTGATAACATAAAGCTGGCCATCAATACAATACATAGTATTTATATTATATACATAAACATAATGCACAAAACATATTGCACACAACATATTGCACAAAACATATTGCAACATAAATGCACACAACATATTGCAACATTATTGCATAATTAATTTAAAAACAGAACTCACAATTAAATTTGAATTAATTCAAATTAAAAAGTGTGAATCCGTGAATATACGTGAATCCGAAATTACTGTGATTTTTTTTGAGTATACTTTCAATAATGAATATGCGTTGCTAAACTCCAATATACTGTGACTACATATAGTGAACTACAACTTGTATGCAAAGTGGTTAGTGTTCTCCATATCAGGCACAGTATCCAATCATTCATTACTGTGCTTATGATCACAATAATTATATTGAATTTTTGCACATCCCTGATACTCCAGATATTGTCTTTCATATGCACCACAATTTTTTTCCGTGATTAATTAATACAATTATAATTATAGAATGACTAATTAATTTAATATTAATTTAAGGGTTGGTTTTGTAAATAAATTGTTTTACTGTTTTCTGCCCGAAAACGTGGACCAAATATACGGCAAAGTTGTGGTCAGATTTCATAACATGGATGTAATCAATCTTTACGGCTCGGAAACACATGTATTGGTTAAATCTCTATTAGTATCGCAACACAATATATCGCCTAAAATATTGTCTATATTTAACGAGGGTTTTATCAGTGAATATATTGAGGTAACACATATTTGTTTTGCATAATACATCATGAACAAATAATTTTATTTATAAATACAAATAAATTGTAATACCGTATTAATTTTAAAAATAAAGTCCAGGTATTTAACAGCTAGTGATGATCACAACCCGCGGACGGCGGGACTGTTGGGTCAAAAATTGGCAAAATTTCATTCATTAAAACCGCCGATTCCGAAGGACAGCACCGAAGGGACCGTCAATTTTGACCAATGGTTTGATGAGAATCAGAGACAATCATTACGTGAGGGATGGGTGAGGGAAGAGATTGTGACCAATCAGTTGAACACATTCCTGGCTCGGGATCTGTTGGCGGAGATGTCTTGGCTCAGGCATCAGGTGCTGGCCATCAAGAGTCCGGTGCTCTTCTCGCACAATGACTTTAATCGCACCAATATTTTGATCCGTGATTTGAATCCGGATAACAATCAGTTGGATATCTATTTTGTTGATTTTGATTTTAGTAGTTATAACTACAGGGGCTGTGATTTTGGCAATTATTTCAGCACTTGGGCTTCAGATAGTGCCGAGTTTGGGGTCGACTCCCGGTTCCCTACAGATCGCCAGATGTGGCCCTTTATTGATGGCTATATCCGTGAAATGACAGCAATTAATGGCAACTCTTTTACACAATTGGAGATCAATTCGTTCCAAAGACTTATAAAGGAGGCGAAAGTGTTTGCATTATTGAAATTTATTAATGATATTATGTCTTGTATAGAGAGAACAGTTAACGGTTCCGATGATAGCACTGAACTTATGGTAATTATTTAATTGTTTCAAAGTGATGATCAAAATACAAGTGTAAAGATTTTAATTTAATTGTATTTATAAATTGTTTTGTACAGAAAAAGGCTGAGATTCGGTTTAAATGCTACACTCGTCTCAAGGATCGCGTAATTCAAGAATATTCTGATATTTAATTAATAATATGAGAATTCATTGTCTTATATAGTATTAAAACCCATTTATGCTATAATAATATGTGCAAATAATTTACTACCTCTACTAAAAAACAAATAATAAAAATTTTAAGCAAATAATAAATATGCGACCATGTGACATAAACTCATTTAGTACTGTGGTTCATCAATAATTTATAATACCTTGAATATGTAGATAGTTATGTTTATAAATTAGAATGTGATTAGATTAAACTAAAATGATGGCATGTACAAATTAAGCTATTTTTCATGTTTGCATTTAATGTTAGTGCAGTTAAATTAATTAATTAATTGGTAATAATTTTAAATTAAAAATGAACGAAAGTGTTTCAGCGGAAGATCGGCTCAATGTATACGAGTTGTGCAAAACATATTTAGGCGGCGAATGGGCCGACGTTCGCGCCGACGATCTGGTCATTAAACCCGCGAAGTTAGTGTGTTTTTGCAAATCTTTTAGAAAATAAAGTTAATTAAATCATTTTGTAATTATAATTGTAAATAGGGGTGGATTTATTAACAAGTTACTTTACTGTTCTCTACCGGACACTATGTCAGCAAAATATTTAAAAGTAGTGGTCAAATACCATGGTAATGTGATGGCGGTTGCCGGTGTAAACACTACACATTTGTTAACAGTACATGTACTTTTATCGGCCAGTAATATATCACCTAAAATACTCGCTGTTTTTAATGCCGGAAATATTGCACAATTTATTGATGTCTGTATAAATAATAATATATTTATTTTAATATTGTGATTAATGTAATTAGAAATGAAATAATTTATTACGATTTTAGTCACACTATTTCAACGCCAGCGATGATCTGAACCCCAAAACTGTCGCACTATTGGCCCAAAAGTTGGCAAAATTGCATTCACTAAATATGCCGATACCTAAAGACAGGACCGAAATCTATATGCGAATGATATTTGAAGAGTGGCTCAAAGAACCAGATATTGAATCCCTGAGACACGGGTTAGTCCGGCAGGAGATCCAGAAGAATAACCTCAAGACATTGATGTCTACGGATTTTGTGGCAGAGATGGCTTGGGTTAGGAAAGTGATGGTCAGTCTCAACAGTCCAGTAGTTTTCTCCCATAACGATCTCAATCGCCGTAATATTTTGGTCACTAATAATAATAATAATGTCGACGTTTACATAATTGATTTTGATTGGAGCTGCTATATGTATAGGGGCGCTGACCTGGGTGATTATTTTGTTAATTGGTGTCAACAAGACTATGGCCCTGAAGTTTTCCCGACTGATGACCAGATGCTGGTCTTCATCGACGCCTATATCCGAGAATTGACAGCAATTAATGGCAACTCTTTTACACAATTGGAGATCAATTCACAACAAAGGCTTATAAATATAGCTGTCCAAAGGCCTTTCTAAAGGCCTTTCTTCCTTAATGTTGATTGGCTACTGTAGCTTTTTACACTGTTTGATTGACTTTAACCTTAGCGCATAATATGAATTTCAAGCTGTTGGACAGCTATACTTATAAAGGAGGCGAAAGTGTTTGGTTTGATGTCTTATGTAAAGGAGATTTGTTATTGTGTTTGGGACTCAATTCGGAGCAATAAACTTGAATTACTGGTAATATTTTGTAATTTCCACTTTTACTATAATTTTTTAATAATAATGCTTTGTCTAATTGCAGCCAAAAGCCGAGAACCGCATTAAAGTCTACAAAGAATTAAAAAATCGTATATTATATGAATATTCAGCTATTCAATCATTTTGATTATAAAACAAAGCATTATGTTTTGAAAAATGCTAATAATGTTATAATTTTGTGGTTAATATCATATTATCAATAAGACTTCCTAAATACAGTAAAATTATGTAACAATTACCTCGATCAAATTTAAATAAATAATTTAAATAAATCAAACATAATAAATTAATGTAAGTTATTAAAAATAAAATTAAACAATTACAAATATCATATGATAGATATTAAATATAATCTAAATAATTTAACATTACCTTGAATACATAGATAATAATGTTTATAAATTAAAAAGTGATTAGATTTAGCTAAAATTATGGCAAATATAAGCAAAACTATTGTGCTAATTTTTGCATCCTGTGTTAGTTTAAAATTGCAAGAAATTACATATAAATTATTTGTTCAATAAATAAATATTTTTATAAATTAATTTTAAATTAAAAATGAATGAAAGCGTTTCAGCGGAAGATCGGCTCAATGTATACGAGTTGTGCAAAACATATTTAGGCGGCGAATGGACCGACGTTTGCGCCGACAATCTGGTCATCAAACCCGCAACGTTAGTGTGTTTTTGCGAAACCTTTTAATCTAGCTTAATCTTATAAATTATAATTGTAAATAGCGGTGGATTTGTTAACAAGTTACTTTACTGTTTTCTACCGGACACTATACCAGCAAAATACCCAAAAGTACACCAGTTTATGCGCTTACTACTGGACCTTCTCTAGCCGCATTTGTAATGTGTAAACAATCGTTACTTACATTAAAATAGCCGGTGATTATATAGCGGATTTAATGACCGACAAATACCATGACCTTATATTACGGAATTTATTGATGTAGGTATAAATCATTTATTTATTTTAATATGTAATTATTGATAGTAATAAACTAATTTACTACAATTTTAGTCACACTATTTCAACGCCAGCGATGATCTGAATCCCAAAACTGTCGCACTATTGGCCCAAAAGTTGGCAAAATTGCATTCACTAGATATGCCGATACCTAAAGACAAGGCCGAAGAATATATGAGCTTTTTATTTGACGATTGGCTCAAAAAATCAGACATTGAATCCCTGAGACACGGGTTAGTCCGGCAGGAGATCCAGAAGAATAACCTCTTCCTTGACTACAGATGACTAAACCACCGTCTCTACCGAACCCAATCCTTTCACCGGCTGTCAGAGTTATCAGGGCAACAGAAGAGAGTATTGCTAGAGTTAGCGGCATTATAAGACCAGTGATTACGAGACCACAATAATAATAATGCTGTGAATGTTTATCTCATTGATTTTGATTGGAGCAGTTATATGTATAGGGGCGCTGATCTAGGTGATTATTTTGTTAATTGGGGTCAACAGGAGCTTGACTTTGGTCCCGAAGGGTTCCCAACTGACCATCAGATGATGGATTTCATCGACGCCTATATCCGGGAAATGACAGCAATTAATGGCAACTCTTTTACACAATTGGAGATCAATTCCCGTCAAAGGCTTGTGAAAGAGGCGAAAGTGTTTGGTTTAGTGTCTTATATAAAGGAGTTGTGTTATTGTGTTTGGGAAGCAAATAAGAGCAATAAACTTGAATTACTGGTAATATTTAATGTTGAAAATTATTGTGTTTTCATTGATATTTTTAGTGATTTATAATTTTAATTTAGTGTTTTTAATGATAATGTTTTGCGTATTTACAGTTAAAAGCGGATCAACGGATTAAAGTCTATAAAGAATTAAAGCAGCGTATATTAGATGAATATTCAGAGATTAAATCAAATTGGTAATAATAAATTGTTATTTATGATAATGGTTAAATAAATGCTAGTAAGCTATTTAATTTTTGATTTATAACTTTAATAACTACAGTATAGATTTACTATCAATTACTGTAAAATAATTTAAACAATTAATTTGAATAAATGAATAATAAATTATTATTAATATCCAATAATAATAATAAAGTATGTAGTGAAATAAATAAAAATGGTACAAACACAATAATTGTATTACAAATACCATATGTGACAATTACAGGAATTTCTGGCTACAAGAGGCTACAGAATCTATAGTAATAATAGTACAGAATCTGTACTACAGATAAAGGTATTTTTAAGAGATATTATATTTATAGCATACAGTAGGTATTTGTCACATATAAAGTAAAACTTTAATGCTGTGCTTTAACATTAGTTCAACATTAGTGCAACCAACATAAGTTATTAGTAATAACTTATTACACTAGTCAATTTATATTACTCGTCATCATAGTAAAAATACAGCTGTTAAAGCAAAAATGCCACTTATGTACAATTAATTTATATAAAATACTGATAATATTTACATTAATCAGTTGTTATATAAGTAATGAGCGGCAGAATTTCAAAATTCCATAGATTCCCATGTTGCTGCTACGGAAAATAGAGGGAAATTACGGAAAATACAAAGGTGTGGGAAGGGGAATTTATTTTGGGAAAATATTTTTTAATTATAATGATTAGTTTTAGTATTAATTGTAGATAAATTATTTTAAAAAGCACACCAATCCCATTATTCGGTTCAAAGTATGACAATAAATGTTATCACTCTATCAATGAATGACTCATAGACAAATAGACAACCACTTACAGAGCATAAGCATTGGTTCATTCATATATATAGTGACGAAATAAGTCATCAACTTTTATTCAATCATTTACAATAAAAATTGTATAAATAAGTAAATGATAAGAATTAATCAGAACAACTGAATGCTTATATCCATCCC